CTTTGGTATTTTTTCTACAAACTCCACCCCACCCCGGAGTTTCTTCTCTGGCGGAACTTTACTGGCCACAAACTGCTTCAGTTCTTCCGACGTTATGTCTCCACGGCGAACCACGAATGCTTTCGGAAGCTCACCCGACACAAGATCGGGAATGCCGATGACTGCCACATCTCTCACGTCTGGGTGGGAAAGTAATAATGCTTCAAGCTCCGCCGGAGGAACCTAAAAGACAAATTGCAAGGCTCACTGTTAGCAACATAAAACACAGCGGTCAAACGTCTGCGCTTGTGCAAATATTGTAATGACTAGTCAAGCTGGCAGAACCAAGTTGCCTCACAATATCAAGAGTTCTAAACTACCACACAGAGCAGTAAGTCACAGGATATAACCTTTGGTAAAGCGACCCAAAAAAGAGGGGTAAATCAACAGGATACCCGTACTTTAAAAGGCTTTGTGTTCAATAAGTCTCTAGTTTTCCATTGCCCTAGTTTTTTTTCCTCTTGCAGATTTCTATGAGCGTTTAAATCCTATTTCGCTGACTCTGCGAGACAGCTTCGGTAGTTGTTTCTCATTTTTTCATTTGAAATTAGGCGCGGAAGACCAGAATAGATCCCCTCGCGCATGCCCAACGTTTGACCGCTGTGTTGCGATATGGTATCTTTATCGACAACACCGCTGACAAAGAAGTACAGAAGACCAAAAGGAAATACTAGCATCCGGGGGCGGAGATAGTTTACAAAGGCCAGTGAGAGAATATTCATTCAACTTCAGTTATCGATCATTAGCTATTAACTCAGATACTTTTAAGAATTCTGCACGGAAGAACAGTTGCACAAATTACCTGGAATCCTTTGTACTTAATGAGTTCCTTGAGTCTATCAACAATAAAGAAATAGTCATCTTCATCGTAATGTCCAATGTCTCCGGTGTGAAGCCAGCCATCCGCGTCAATTGTCCTCGCGGTAGCCTCTGGGTTGTTCAAATAACCTAAAAGATTTTAAATACATCACCATCGGTCTCGATAAAAGCCGGTTGCCGGTGGTCTTAAGCCGCCTATAAGATCTCCGCCTGTCGACGTTTGTTTGGCAGGCGTGTGTAGTGTTTTCCTTTAAGAGACATTTCGTGTTGCTTATTTGTTGCTGGGCTAAGGTTCGCTACGAATTATGGTTAGTCGGTTTTTGTATCATAACGTGCTTACATCTGGATTAATAAGAAAGTATTTGTTGTGTTATCTGCGGTTATCCGTCGTTTAACCCTTTGATCCCTAAGAGTGACGAGCATCTAATTTCTCCTAAAAATATCTCCCCAAAATCACAGGTTAAGCTCACGAGAATATAGGAAATGATCTCTAACTAGAGAAGCTCTTGATTGTGAAACAAATTCTCCTTATCAGTACATTGGGAAATATATATATAGAGGACAGTAAGGAGAATACGCATACTGATGTTAAGGTGTAAAGGACTAATCGACCACCATCTCGAGCAGGATCTCGTATTTCGATTTTGCCTTACAGCCCCTTTTCCGGGCACATCTGCCTCTTAACACCATCGGCAGCCGCTCATGGAAAAAGCTTTTTGAAACCTCTGCATCACTCATTTCTATTGGCAAAAGCAATAGCCGCTTTGTGCAAAAAAAAAAGGTTTTCTGTTTAATTTGTGGAGAGAAGCCTTGCACATAATTCCATCCACAGACTTAAGCTGAGTCTGAGTCTATCGCAGTTCCTTGCGGGTGAAAAGATCTAAGTTATCATAGTCCATTTACCTTCAGAAATGCTAACATAACGAAAAAAAAAAAAAGGTTTTGCACGCTTCTAACAGTGCTTCTGGTTTTACTAGTGGGGTTGTTGTAGTTGCCGCACAGTCCCCTCCTCTAGCTGCTACAAATTTCCTTGTAAATTGGTTATGAGACTTTGGTGTTAGATCAAAAGAACAACTTCAACCTGATAAGTTTGAGAATGCTCATTACCAGTTTGCTGAATAATGTGTGGATATTACAGGGAAAAATTGAACGTTAATCACTACTGGGAACTAAAGGGTTATTTACCCAGAAACTTCTGCAAGCGTAAACACCTGGTTTTCAGATGCAGAGGGAACTGATAGGGCGTAAGCCAGGTATTCTCAGTTTTAATTTAACAAAAGGTTGTCGAGGTTTCTACCAAAATAATTTTCTCAATGGAAAAGTCTAGTTATCAATAGCTTCGATACCTTTCATAACAATTGGTCCTTTAATGCATATCTCGCCGTCCTGGTTTGGTCCTAGAATCTTGCCACTTCCAGGATCAATAACCTAAGGAATTAAAACCCTATCTAAATAATATGATCAAATAAAAAAGTGGATAGCGTTGAGGACGCTCTGTGATTGGCTACTCAAACTCCAAAACTCCTTTGCTACCCAGGTCTGAGAAACGTGCACGGGATTTGCGCCCGATGATATTGTAATCGTCGTAAGAATAGATGAGCTAAAATCAACTTTTGGTACCATATTATCTCACTGTTTTAGTATACACTAAGACAACTATTCACTTCAGTGTTGGTGACTAGCGGTGGATATTTACCTCGCCGCTTCGTGGCTCGATAAATATCCGCCACTTACCACCCCGCTTCGGTAAATAGTTGTTAATTAGCCAAAAGTTATTAAAAACATCTAATCATGTTATTCAAGTTATTCTAGGCCAATCGGCACACACCTTACATTCTAGATTTGGAAGCACACGCCCTATGGAGCCAACCTTATGTTTTTCTCTGGACCCAAAGCCATGAGATGAACAAGTCAGTTCAGTCATTCCATAACCTACCAAAGAGAGCGATGAGAAAATGAGGCGAGGCAAATCTCACAATTACAATAATTGACAAGACACTGATCTCCATATGATGAACAGTAATTATCTAGAGGTTTGTTGATTTGAACGCGGTAAATCGTTTGAAAACTGGAACCGAGGATTTAGGGAAACTCAGGTAGCCGAGGAAATGCTACCTTATTATATTTAATTTCGTGATTTTGGCGTGACGGTATTTCGCGTGACTTTCAATAAGCAAATATGAAAAAGGGCATTAAATTTCGCAATTCAAGTGGTCTAAACTTCATGTCATTTTGCAAAATGTGTTACCTTTTGACGACTGCACGAATCTAGCAATTCAAATGATGAAGAGAGTAGCTAGATTCTCTACTCCATATGCGAAATCTTTGTAAATTGACGTCATTTCACGACGGAAGATACAAGAGAGAACTTATCAGTAAGGCCACTAAAAAATTTGTGTATTTGTCCCTACGTATCCTGTGTGTGTTGTTGTTATTACGCGTCGATCACTTTTTTTCAGTTGTTATTTAGTGAGGAATACGACGGATTCTCGACTGACAAAACTCCGCAGAAGATGGACTGAAAAGGAAGAACTTTTGAAGTTGAGCCTGCTAGCCGGACATCGGACAAACAACTACAACCCATAATTCCTTATGACACGATGTCATTTCCTCCAGTGACACGACATGGTTTCATTCACTGCGTAAAGGCTTTAAGGTAACAATCGCGTTGATTTCCTCAGAGTTTTCTTCGCAAAGCGGAATGAAAAGGTAAATAATGCCTTCTAATCCTTCATTTCTTTATTCGAAAGGAATTGACTTTGAAGAATGGATCAAATCACTTTTTTTCTTTGATTTGAATTTTCTATAAGGGATGCAATTTCGCGTGTTTAAATTGCGCGATAATTCTTTTTCGCGGATCTATAATTACGAAATTTTTTACAATCACGTAAAACGTGAAATAAAGGCACTCTCGTCGCTTCAAAGCTCGATCAAAGTGAGGAAAATTAAAACAAAGAAGTGCTGACCTTGACGAACTAATGGCGCACTTGGTATCCTCTTGGCAGCATTCATTTCCAGGTCTCCACCTAGAGGCGCAGCCCCAGAAGATATGACCTTCAGACTTGATAAGTCATATTTGTCTACCATGGGATGTTTGGATAAAAATAGCACCAACGGAGGAACAAGAGGAGCAATTGCCACCTAAAAAAAAGAAAAATTCAAAATATACCATTTAACCCTTAAGAGTGACTAGCCTATAATTTCTCCTTATAATATCAAACATTAAGGTCACAAAAATATTGGAAATAATCGTCAACTAAAGAAATTCTCGATTGTTACGCAAATTCTCCTCGTCAGCACTTTAGGAAATGTAAAACTTTAGCAAGTGCCTTCATAAAGGGACGTTGACACGAGCGTTTAAAATTCAACCGCGGAAAGGAAACCAAAACTTCATTTGAATAAAGGGGGTATGTTTCTAAAGAAACTGTGGTGCAGCGTCAGTGGTAGAGTATAACTGGGTAATATTGAGAGTTACTGACAAATATCAAATACAAGGACGAACCGTGGAACAGACAGGGAGCGGCTTATAAGATCACTTGCTCCGACTGCCACGCCTCCTACATCGGGGTGACTGGCAGAAACCTCACAACAGGATTGACTGAACACAAGCGAGCGACAATGAAAGGTGATGTGAAACAATCACTTTGCTAACCATCATCGCCTAACGAACCACACTGTTGAGTGGTACTCTGCGCAATGCCTAACCTACAAAACCAACTACTGATTATTTTTTTTATGAAAAAAAAAAAAAATAAAAAACTCAATAAGGATGAACTCGAGTCTTATTAAGAAGAGCGAGTCAGATACGAACCTTGTAGTCTTGAATGGTGCGAAGAAATATTTCTGGGTCAAATCTTGTAAGGATGACCACCTTGTCACCAGAATAGAGGGCCAGACCCATGACAATAGTAAGGCCGTACGTGTGAAAAAAAGGCAGCACATTTAACCATGTTCTTATTACCGGCGAAGGACCATCTCTAGTCAGCAAACATAATTGCGCTACCTGGTTGTAATGCGTGATGACCACACCCTTAGAAATACCAGTCGTGCCGCTTGAAAAAGGCAAAGAAACTGGATCCTCTTTTGGGTTGATTTTCACGTTGCTAGGGAAAGCTGTCCCATCGTCTAATAGCAGAGACGCAATCGATTCACAACCTTGCGCCTTGCCAATAACTATAACAGAGCGGAGTTCTTTCAATACGCCGGCTCTGAAAGCCCTCTCTGCAAGAGAAGGCATGGTGATGAGGTATTTTGCCCTGGAGCTGGTCAGCTGACGAGCGAGGTCCTGGGGAGAGTAATGTGGATTGATGGTAGTGTTGACACCACCGAGCCGCGCCACGCCATGGAAAATGATTGGATATTCAATCACATTTGGAAGATAAATGGCCATCACATCGCCTTTCTGAAATCCTCTTCTGGCCAAAGCAGAACTAAATCGATGAGTCAAGTCTTTGATTTCACTGTACGAGAGCGATCTTCCGGACTCTCCGTCAACCTGAAAGAGGAGAAACAAAAACCTTATCAGAAGAAGGGAAAGAGTTTAGCGGGTTATTATCAAAGAAAAGAAAAGAAAAAAAAAGAGCTTTGACTCATGGTGGATGACGTTGCCACACCCTTGTCCCCAGCGCTTCTCTGTTACCTGAAAACGAGACAAACTATGACCTGCACCCTAGTCTACATGGGTTGTCCAAATTTGAGTAGAGAGAGGAGAGGAGGGTGAGCGGAGGCGGGGGGGGGAAAGGATAACCCTTTTGCTGCCTAGAACTCATACTTAGTCTGTCTAAAAGTCTCTAAAACTTTCAAAAATAGTGGATTCGATAGGAATTGGACCTACTTAAGGAAAATTATCATTTGAGGGAAACAACAGAATACTTCCTTAGCTAGCAACAAAGAAAATCTTTGACCGTGAGGTCATCCCCCCTTTTTTTCCGTTTAGCGTCAAATGCGTTTGGTGATATTGAGTCGGTCGGTTGGATTGAATAAAAAAAAAATTTTAAAAAAACCCAAAAAAAGAATTACAAGGCTCTAAATAGGAGGCCTGGTACCCCAGCATCATTGCTGTGGAGCTGTGGAAACAACAAAACAAGACATGCACCCAAAATAAATATGGCAGAAACGTTAGTTGATGTTACTGTTGAAAAATTAAGACTACGTAGGAAAAAGGATCCTTGAGCCTGTATATCAAACGTGTAAGTCTACGTTCAAGATAACGAATGACTCCAGACTGGGATCTGTGCAAATATACCGTATAGTAAAATCGACAAATATTTGTAGCGAAATCCTAATCATCCTCTTCCCATGGTCAGTGAGGATGTTATGTCGCAATACCGTATTTACCCGTCTATAATGCGCGCCCATGTATAATACGCTTCCTAATTTTTGACCTCTTTTTTCCGAAAAAAAAAAAAGATTTCACGACAAATACCAAAAATGAAAACTTCCATTTTTTCATTTAGTTAAGTAGAGCTGGGAATTCATCAATAATATGTTTACAACAATTTCTAACTAGTTGCTACTACAAATATCGCACGCACCGACTTTTCTATTCAATAACAGTCTAACGTTTTACAAATGTTGTAACTTGAAGTCCTTATTAATATACCTAAATTCACAACTTGAATTATTATCATAACAGCCATTCATAAACATTATTTCTACTCACAGCACTGCTGGTAGCTTGAATATCATCACTGCATTGCAATTGCGTGATTTAAGTAAAATGTTCAGTGTCTTTAATCAACGAAACCTTCAAATTCCGACTCGCAGTCCAATTCGAATAGATTTTCGTTGACTGAATCATCAAGTTCATCAGTGATCTCGGTTGAATTGTAAACCAATTCAACTTGTGATCCATCCGAATTGTTTGTGATCCCATAATTCAGAAAGAGGCAGCGATCATTTCTGACGGAATGGCTTTCTACGCTTGCGAAATCTACGAACAGATCAGTTCTTCCGAAGCCTTTTGTCGTCCAGTAAATTCGTGAATTCCATCAGCCATCTACTGCTTTCGGACTCCTTCTCTAAACGGTTTGTTCAAAGATACATCGAGCGGCTGAAGAAGGAAGCGGTCACCGTATC